CACCTGCTAAACCAACCACGAAGGAGAAAAGCGCGGGATCACGGCTCCTTTATTGCGCGTGCCTGCTTTAGTTAGTGACACTAAACATACAAATGCAATGAGCGCCCGTGACGATAAATTTTTGACGCTGCTTGATTTTGTCCATGAAATCGTAACGTCGGCTTTTGTCGCTCTTAGCTTGAGACGGTGTATGAACGCTTTAAGCAGCTACGCATGGGCGCCGCCTTAAACGACCTTCGGTGTTTGCTTCCTTTTACAGCGGAGCGGTCAAGGGCTAGTTTCTCCAGGATCGTGTCCCCCGCAAAGAATTGTAGACACAAAACTCTGGTTGCCGCCGTCGCTCATAGGGTGGCGATGGCTGTCCAGAGCGTTGTGTTTGCCGGTTGTCTGCTTGCCGCCGTCGCTCATTGTTGGCCCAACCTTTCGAGCCTCTCCACTCTGGCTAGCCGACTTGCAGCCGACCATTACCTCATTCCCACCATAGTACAGCTTCGCAGGTCTTCCTTCTTCACCAAAGTGGAAAGGCTGAAAGATTTTTTTTTATTCCGAGTACTTCGCTGCCTAATAGGCCCATTCGAAATACTGCCCTGCGTTTGCAGCCGCGGAATTTATGCAAAATGGTCGACTTAAACCTCAACGTCACGGCAAACTGGAAAAAAAAAACACTCCCACAGGAAAAGATGATGAGTGCAGTGACGTTACACTTTTGATGCTGTATGATTGACTCGTCGGCTAGTAATGTTGGCCGCGCTGCGACGTTCGATATCGCTAATTGAATGACTTGCACGCTCCTCGATGCAGCCGTTCCTCCATTGTGCGCTGGTTCCGACCTTGTAATAATTGGCACGTGAATTTCAAAATGGTTTGACTACCATAGCAGGACAGTTCACACGCCATATTAGATTTGACAGTGTCATTTTTCCCGACAATGGCGTCTGTGAAGGCTTGCAGAAGTCCGTTTTAGTGACTCGGCATCTTTGCAAGACGAGAGAAGGTCAATAGGCAACCTGCAATGCTGTTTGGTTTGGCGCCATCTAGTGACTGAAACAAGAAATATTGGGTACCCCTGGGAGTGGCGGCTGCATTGTTCGAACGTGAACTTTTATTCTGGTGGCGCCGCTTAGCCTAGTGTCTGAAGCCAGAAATACTGGGTATCCCAGGGAGCCGTGATCGCGTAACGTGCCAGTGGAGCGGAAGCTACGGCCCTGGCGGGCCAATCTGAACGTGATTGCCTATCACCGGAGCGCACCTCAACTCCGGAGAAGTACCAGGCTTTTCGCTGCGTCACGCTCCAATACGTGTGCATTGCGCTCGTATACGTCGCGCATTTTGAAGCCTTCGGCACGCAATGTGCGGCTTATCGTTTACCCTTTGCCAAGTTACAACGAGACAGGGTATAACCGTGCGCTCTCACTCTGCTGGCGCCGCCTGGCCGTTGCCGGTTGGCTATAATGCCGGTTGCAATCTGGGACATGTTTAAAGCGTCCATGAACGCAAGCGATTGTCGCCGGCGAGTTAGACTTAGTCCAGCATACTTAATGGTAAATACCCAGGCAAACGTCGGCGCGCGCCGCTGGTTCCAGACAAAGCGTAGCCCTCACGTGAACTCATGTCATCACGGGGTGAATTACGATGTACCAAGAAACTGCGCTGGGAGCACTTAACGTGTAACATTTAGACAAAGGTGAACTGCAAGAACCCACCAAAAAGCACACCCCACAAAAAAAAAACAAAAAAAAACTTATCCTGAAAGCGTGCTCGTCGCGGGCACGTTTTAATAAGTTTTTTGTTTTTCTGGGTTGTGCTCTACTTCTGGAGAAATTTAATTATGGTCTTCGTTATTTTCTAATGAACCGGATATCACAATAGTACCGTGTGTGCAGAGCACAAAGAAACCATCCAAAGCTCCCCGTAACCAAGCATAGCAGATCATAACGCACGCCTAAGAGAGGCCCGTCAAATTCTTTGCTTCACGGGTTTATAAGAAATACCAAGGCGAGTTTAATATTCTGCGATGTGTCTAGCCTTTTAATTATTAAATATTAATTCCCTAACCCTTTTTTACTTTAATTTGTTTCTCAAAACCTTCAACTGGAACAACTGCCCACATCTATCACCACAATCACAGACGTTCCTGCATTCAAGCCTGCCATTGAAAATTAATATGTTAACTAATATGTGTTGAATTCTATTTTTTGTACTTTGGCTCCCCCCCCCTCCCTTCTCTAACGCCGTGTGGCATTGAAGGTATTGAAATAAATAAATAAACAAATAATTAAATACATGTCTTGGAGAGTGTGTTGAGAAACGTGTCACCTTGTTGTTTCCATAAAGTGGATGAGGTGTTTTCTAGCCTGCTTTAGAATTATTTTATTTCCCAACAAAGTAAGGCTTAAAACTTTAGAAAATTAATCTTTGTTAATTAGCCAGTTTGACAAACCGCAGAAGTATTTTGATTTGTTCAATATTATTGTGAGCAATAGTGCATTGGTTCCACACGTGTAGCGTGCGTTAGCTTATTTTTAAGTCTTGGCACAAGTTAGCTGAAATACCATGTGATTGTTTTAAAGATCAAGTACCTCAAGCCCAGAGGCTTTCTCGATGAGGTTGAAACAACTCAAAACGGGAATTGTTCGAAGAAAATCGAGCGTGCGAAATGAACGCTCAAGCTCTACTTGTTTCGAATAGACAAACGGCTTTTTTTCCTTTTTTTTTTTTTAGGCGAGTCGAACGCACATGTTCAAAGATTCTATCGAGTTTCCGTCCACTCTAGAAATAAAGGTCCCCCTTCTCCTCTCTCGCCAAACGCCCCGCACTCCGAATGAAATTTGTGAGGGACACTTTCTTCCAAGTGGACTCTTTCTGCATGAATGTCTTGCGTCATTTCGGAAAATACGCTTGATTCCTTTCCTTTTTTCGTCACTCCAATATCATTTGCAGTTTATTAGAGGGCTGTGGTAACTGAATAATGTTAGACTGTTGTAGTTTAGATGATGCCGGCTACTATGTGTGCAAAGTGATGCTCGTTTTCCCCATAATGATATGATTTTTTTTTGTCAAATAAATGTCGTTTGCATTACTGGCGTCGGGAGTTATGTACGTTTTGTTTCTCGAGTAGACTGCCCTCGCAGGGTTCACGTGGGTAAAAGCCTAACAACGGTCAACTCAAAAACGAGCAGCCATCTTGGTGATCACGCTAGACTCAAACAACCGTCGGTTCCGTGATTGGCGAAGTGGAGAAAACGCTCACTCCAACTCAGAGCGAGCCCCGCATGCACTGCCTGACTGAATGCCTGAAAACGGTCTCCTAAATCATTCCATTAAAATATTGAGGTAACTGTAGCCTACGCACTCGTACACACGATATCATATCAATTTAGTGGCAGTGTTCATAGAACCTTCCGTGAAAAATAAACCTGTCATTCATTTCTAATGATTTACAATGGTGCATCTGTATAAACATTCACAACACATTAATTTCAGATAAGAGTGTTAATTATGTACTGTGTAACGAGATGTATACTCACACAGAGGAAAGCCGCCAAGCTTCCCGTTTTGTGACTTCCTTACTCAGCATTCAACGAAGCTCCGATAATTTTAACAACTCGTACGCTTAGAATCTAAGAAAGGTTTAGTAGTTCCTTGCACTGTAAATGCGACTCTGCAAATTTTTGTGCCGTGAAAGTGAACTTCTGAATGCATACCGTATTTAGGGCAAGGTTCAGGAATTCTGTGTCCGTGTGCTGTAGCCTCAATGACGTCACGGTGTAACGCGACATCCTCACGTCATGTGAAAATATGACGTCACCTCTCAGTGTAACGACACGTGACACTGTTACGTCACGTGACTTCAAGATGTCACATGAGATCATGACTTGGCAGAATGACGTCATTGGCACTGTGACGTTATAAAAAAATCTTCGCAATGCGCCCTTGAGAGGCCTTCTGATTGTGCACTCAAAAGAAGAGGCGCGATAAGGCTTACGAAATGCTATGCATTTAGAACGCCTTTGGAAAACTCCAGAGAGGGCGATATTTTTCATTCCTTATAATTATTTTTTTTAAAATGTGCGTTTGTAGGCTCGTACTTCGCGTAACGTTCCTTAGAAGCAGGAACACACTCCCCTTATTCTTGTCTTCTCACGCGTGAAGCAAGACCCCAAACAAGCTTAAATGGTTCGAACTCTCTTTTCTTTTCTTCTTTTAAGAAAAGAACGTCATAGGGGCCACAATCAATAACGACAAGTCTGTTGCAGCATTTCGCTACGGATAAATAGGGCGGTGACAACAAAAACCAAAATTCATTCACACGCAGACAAGACTAGTTCTTGGGAAAGTTAAAATAGGAGAGTGATTCAAACATTATCATTCGGTTATCTTAAAACTCCGGTTAGCTTAAAACTTCTGTTTGCCGCAGTATTAACAGCGCATTTCGTACGAGATAGGTATCTCTCCTGTCCCTGCTCTACATGTTTGAACGCGTTGAGTCAGTTTAGTTTGGACTCAGGAGCGAGAAAAAACGACAGCCCCACGTGTGATTTTCTAAAGTGAGTGTATCATTCTTTTGGTGGTCGAGGGGTGTTTCTGTTGTGGAATTTTGTCAGACTTCATACACAATATAAAGGAAGTATTTTCTCACCAAAAAGTATGTTATGCAAAAATGTTACGATTAAATTAAATTCTACAGTCAGAATACGGCCGTTTTTTTCAACCACTCTTGCATGTCCTCAGAGCTGATAGAAATAAGCCACCATTTGTTCCTTTAGACACAGAAATAAATAAAACTTAACTACCGCATTTGTAGCTATTTGTAGATTAAAAAAGGGCCACTTTTCATTTTGTCGACTTTAACCTGTCCCCGTTGAAGTCTGACCAGTAAAAAAAGTCATGGTAACGTTTATTAATAGTTCACAAAAAAAAAAGAAAAAAAAAATCGCTCGAGAAAAGAGGTTTCCATATAATACTGTTGGAATACAACAATATAATTCAAACATTTTCAGCAAAGCCTTGGAGCGGTGGCAATATTCTCAGCGGCAATGGCGGTCGCAACAAGTAAGTGACTTCCCTGCAGTTTTGTCGCCCGTAAGTTTGCCAACAATCCCAATATGTATGTACGGTTGTTCGGTTAGTCTTTCAGGTACCTTTCATCTGGTGCTGCCTTGCCATCGGATTCACGGGCACGTTCTACACTGCACTGGTATTTATTATCTTTAAGTCTGAATATTTCAAGAGCGTGAAGCAATTCAATTGTTGCCATGACCTTATACCGAAGCCAATTGATTAGGCATGATATGTACGTGATGCCGGTCAAAAATATAGGTGCCGCGGTATTATGTTTGTTCATCACTGTTGGGTGCCGCGTTCAGTGCTTGAAACAATCTAGCAAATATAAAACTCTGGCATTGAAACATGGATGATTTAGCAGACAGACGCCATGAAAAGCAATTTGAAGTTTATGATTTTAAACTTCTTACTCGTATAAATTTGATCAGTGAACCTCTCATAACCCAAGTGCACGTTCTTCAATCACCCCTGTGCAAAATCTTAGCTCGATACCTTCGGAAACACAAGTGGTCCCTCGATTTCCACCTGGTGACGCCATAAAAGTGTCATGCTGTCAATGGTCGCGATCCTGGCGGTTTTCCAGCACTGGTGGTGGATGCGGCAGACGCCTGTCCTGCTGCAGGTCGCTCTGTGGTGTGACAGTCCACGGAAGCTACAGCAGCCAGAACTTGGGACGCCGCAACGACAGCGACACTCGAGTTCACTGCTGCATTTCTGTCGCAGAAATGCATTTCGCTGCATTTCTGCGACCAATCACCAGGATCGCGACATCCTACAGCATGACACTGCGGCTTCTGTTACATCGTTTGTTGCTACTTCGGGACCAATTTGGATGTATGAGGATAATAGGACGCTACCCACACCAGTCGGAGAAGCATTCCAGGTACCATAGTGTCGCGCTCGTTGTCTGAAGATTTAAGAATTGATGTCGGTGACGCTGACAAAATGATATCGATTCTATAAGTTCCTTTTCTTTAAACTAAATGTAGGTTTAATAAAACTTTCATTTGTGTATAAACCAATCCTGAGCTTGGTACTGTAACAGAAGAATTCTAAAATTCCTGGGAACGAATCTACGCAAATTATTATTGGTTGATGTATTTACGTGATGCTCATGTGGTGCTCGAGTAAAACTATCTTTATGAATATCTTTACCTATAATACGTATTCTGGACTTTGTTTTAAATTTTTACTGCTCTTGTGCGGCAATCACGCGTCTTGTGGTTTTAATGTATTCCTTTTATTTTCATCTGCCATATTTAGTTTCGCGTTGCCTTCGGGAATATTTGGCCGACCTGTGCCACCACACCACTAGGCAAACTAAACTAAAACAATTCATAGCCTTCGTGCTCCGAAAAATAGTCAAATTAGAAGAACAAACGAAATATTAACCGATTTCGTACTTATCACTTTTTTTTTGTTTTGAAAACCTAGGACACAACCCCAAGCCATTAGATCAAATGCCCTAACCGACTTGGAAAGTTTAATCGAGGCAGCCAATATGCAGCGCTATTTTTTGGGAATTTCAAAGCAATTAAAGTTTAAAATTCTATTTCCCACTTTTATAAACTTAAAAGTGCATTGAAGAGGGACGTTTTAGTTATTCAATCTGCTTTAAACATATCACATTGTACCATAAATAATCATTAAAATTGAAGACAACATATATGCTTTCTTTTACGGCAAAATCAAAACGCAAAAAAAATACTTTACGATAACGAAATAGGGACATGGAAGCCAAGCATGTCCCTCTTTTGTTATAGTAAATTAGAAGCAAATACGCTAGAGCCTCCACATAAAAAATTACATTAGTTTTTTTTTATATAGCTCTAGTATCTAAGATACATATTTAACGTGTGCATTATTATTTGAGAAATTTTTTAAGGTGCCTAAATTGTGGTTTTAATTACATGTAACCTTCTCAGGTTACGTGTATTTGACATTGACACTACTTTACTTTCCGAATTGCCGTAATAACGATATACTGTCATGTGTTGCCCCCTCTTCACTTACCTTCTACTTGCAGGGAGGCTTGAGGGGCGTAGTGTGGACGGATTGCGTGCAAGGTGTGATCACAATAGTCGCCCCTATCACCATTATTGTGAAGATCCTTTACGACTCGAACTCCGGCCATTTCAAGCTTCGTCCTTTGAATGATATCAACCTACGAGCATACCTTTTTGAGTAAGACGATTTATTTCTCCATAAGGACTCACGCCATCACTGGGTGGATCATAACGTATCAGGGGATAGCACAGTGTGAGCATGAAGTCACAACTTTCGGACAGCAGTCAATACAGAACGTACAGTGCGCGATACACTTTCTCTCTTCTCGACTACTTAAGCTTAACCACTTAGCAAACTATTTCAGAACACTAATAACTGAAGGGACTGTACGCAATCTCGGAAGAAAAATGAACAAGTGAAAACTTCTCATCAAGGCATACTCGTCCCATGGTCCACTACTGAATAAATGTAAACTTGTATTTATTATTCTGATAATCAATGCGGCACTTGGAGTGTCATGTGTGCAAAGTATTCGAAACCACACAAAACTGCCCGAAAAATCATAACCATTCGTGACGCACTCGTAAGGCTAACACAGCACATGATGTGCTTGTCGGTTTTATCACAATCACCAAGATAATTTTTTTTTATAAATTTTTAGTTTTTTTTTTACATTTATGTTTACAGTATTTATTTTCCAGTCTAATTTTGAATAATTGGCATCACTTGAAACGTAATAGCCCTGTGTTCATCAACGCCCACGAATTACATTTTTACTGACATTGTCACGAATGACAAATGATGAGGCAAAGAATAACTAAAGAATCTAAACATTTAATAAGGCGAACCTGTGCCCAAAACAAAATAAAAGTAAGTCAGCGTCGCAGGCCTCGATGTCGGCGAAACAGCAGGATCGAGCGCTGGAGCGAGACTGACCCTGGCTTGTTACGCGGAGCACCTATTGTACACGCGTGGGCTTCTGGAATTATCGGCCTAGACAATTCGGCGCGTAGAAAATTCTGACCAAGAAAAAGCAACACGGTTCTCGAATTCACCAGAAGATCACATTACAGAGTCAACAAAAATGTGTGACCGCGGCAAGGAATGGAAGCCTGGCTTTTTGCGTGGAAGGCAAGCGCGATAACCGTTAGGCCACGAGCGCGCTGCCTGCTTGTTCAGGTTCGCGCGCAGCATTACTCCCCCCTTTAAAAAAAATGCAGCGTCCCGATGCAGCTAAAAGAAACATCCACAACAAAAGGACAGCAGGAATGCGAGCCTCAGTTCACAGTTCACAGTTCACTCTTTAACGAGAGTCCAAACTTCTGCCGTTCGTAATACGGCTTGAGCCGGACAACGTGCACCACCTCGGGTCGTGACTGGCGTCTTGCAGATGGGTGCGTTCCGTCGGGAAGAACTTCGTAGTTTAGATCGCCGAGGCGTCGGATGATCTTGTAGGGAAATAGCGTTTCAGAAGCTTCTCGCTGCTACCGCGGCGCCGTATCGGTGTTCACACCCATGCCCAGTCTCCGGGCTGAAAATGGACGTCCTGGCGCCCAAGGTCATAACTGCGTGCATTGATTCGCTGCTGGTTTTCACTTTTCATTCTTGCCGGTTGACGAGCTTCCTCCTCGCGTTGAGAGATCAGTTGAGCGTCGTCGTTGCCATCGTCGGTTGGCACGTGACGCAGCATGGCGTCGAGCACCGTGGTAACCGTTAGGCCGCGTGTACCAGTTGGAACGGCGTCATTCCCGTGTTTTCTTGAAACGCTGTGTTGTACGCAATGATAAAGTACGGCAACACTTCGTCCCATGTCATGTGCTCTCCGTCGACGTATATGAAGATCATGTCGGCGTCGTATCGTTCAGCCGCTCCGTTAGCCCGTTGGTCTGCGGATGATAAGTGGTGGTTCGTCGATGGCTCGTGTGTCTGAACCGAAGAACATTTTACAATTTTACAAGCCTGACTACTGCGAACATTCTAATTCTGGATATAAAGGAAATTAAAAGGACAAAGCAGATATGACCACGTGTTTTTAACTAGTAACTTAAAACCAGGCTCACTCAATTTCCGGGGAGAAAATAGAGCAATGATACTCAGCAATAATGCGTTTTAACATGTCATCGTTTCTCAGTGCCAGCCTTGACTTTACTAAGGATGAAAATGTGTGGTCATGTCTCATCGGCGTCGCCGCGGGAAACCTCTATCGCACCGGCCTTGACCAGATGATTGTCCAAAGGTACATGGCATCAAGAACTCTAGAAGACGCTAAAAGGTATGTTTCACTCTCAACAGTGGCACAAACTGTCATAAAATCTCGTCATAGCCTACTGGTCATTCTCAAAGTGTAACTTGTCAAACAACTAGGGCATATTTTGCGGATATGCGGAAATCTTTAAGCCAGAAGTAGCCATGAAATCGTGTCACTATTACGCAATGTGTCCTCATGCGTGGCCACTTGAACTGTGTATGAAAAAAAAAACTCTATATTATATCATTGAGGTAGTGTTCGAAGCTTGTTCAAAATATAATCGAGTAATAGTTTTATTTTTTATTATTGGACATACAGTTCTGCTCACATTTCTGGACGAAGAATTGGAGACCCCGTCAAGCACCTTTGATTCGCTCCAGAACTCAAATTATTCAGGACTAACTCTAACTAGCTTAAATTGTTCTTAGAATATTTATAATATTGAAATGATGTAGAGAGCGCAGATTTATTGGGCAGTCGTACAGAGTGTTAGGATGGTATTTATTGTCACTTTACCAGAGGGGCAAATATAATCTAGGCAAGTTGAGAAGTCAGCCAGGTGTAGTTTTAGTACAAAGCGCAGGCAAAGGCTTGAGTTACTAGACAGCAAAGCGCGCACAGTCAGACCGTGTCCTTGATAATGATAGGGTAACTTCCCGCGCGTTTGTCCTGCAAAATAAACTAAATCATTTGCGCGAGCGAACCTCGTTGCTCTAAATGTGTGTGATCCTGCTTGAAAAAGTGACGGCGGAATTCTGAGGAGTGTGTGTGTATTTTGTTCACCTTCTTTATACGTTTCGAGTGTTCCAAATGCTTAAAGTTCACTAGCTCACCTGCATGTTCTCTGTTATTCCTGTCTTATGAACGTTTTAACGTTAGGAAGAACTTCTAAATGTAGGGCACTCTTCTAGTTCTTGTGAACAAACAAAATAAAAGCAGCTATATCACATACTAGGTGTGACTGCATTTTCAAGGTAGTCGACTTGAACTGGACGCCTTTTGCATACTTCTTGAATGAGGTTATCTGCTCGATGTTGTGACGAAAAAAAATGAAAGACGTTTACAGCCGCCTGTTATGCCGAATTAGAGCGCAGCCCTTAAGGAGGAGGAGGGGAAAGTACGAAGGGGACAATATGCCTCTCCTCCTCCCCCTTTTCTCCTCCTCTCTCTTTCTCCTTTTCCTCCCTCCTCCTCCTTCTCTTCCTTTTCCTCCTCCCCCTTCATCCTCCTCCCCCTCCCCTACTCCTTCTTCCCTCCAGCGCGGTGCATTATGAGAGACGTCCCATAATGCAACGCGTGCGTCACCGCGGTGCATTATGGCACGTCTCCCATAATGCACCGCGCGGTTACACCGACGGCGACGAGTCACGCCGACGCGTTACGCCGACGGGGACGCTGACGCGTCCAGAATAAAGCGTTAGGCTCACGCGTTACCGTTACGCCGACGGCGACGGCGACGCCGACGCGTCAAGAAAAAGTGTGACACCGACGCTTTATGTTTACGCCCACTTAAACACCGCAAATACATTTGTCTCCTAACTTTATGTGTGTTGAGGATTTTTCGTTTGTTTGCTGGCTCCATTGTTTGTTTTGGCGCACCAAGGGGAAGACCGATATTGTTGTTTTGGGGCACCCAATATATATTTTTGGGGCACCCAATATATATATATATATATATATATATATACAGGGTGTTATTTTTTATTCGAAACAGATTTAAAAAGAAAAACGTCTTTACTGCTACGTGAATGCCGTCTACACTATGTGTTTCTTGAGCTCGGCGGACATTCGAGAGGGAAACAACCGTCACAGTCTGATGAGTCATTAACTAAAATCTGTTAATTAACTTTTTAATTATTGGTTTTATGGGCCATGTTGCAATTGTAATTTTCAGCCAGCCGTCCTGGAAGGCTATACCAACTTACACATTTAAAAAAATGCAACTGGTTTGGAGATATCCGTCGACAATTTCTCCCCTTTCTATCATCCGATTCCGAAACTGAAAGTTCCAAGTGCGCCGGAAGCGCTGATCACGTGACGCTTGTAGAAGTGACGGTTTCGTGACGTACAAATCGTCATGATCTCATATCTGCACTGCGGCTGTCACGGTGCGGCTCGAGGAATGCAAACTCGCGGGGGCGGTCTTTAGCGCTCTCGCTTTTAATGCGTCATTGCCCTCGGAGCTTCATTCGCGATTGTTTGTCGGCGGGGGATTCGCTTCGCCAGATAGCGTGGGCGCACGAAGGCCGGCTCTGCCAGTTGTAGCGTTAAAATGGCTGCGCAAATTCAGTCGAGGTATTCAGTCGCCGAGAAGGTTCAAATAATTGTGGTGTATGCTAAAATGAATGGCAACGTTCGTCTTGCCACGAGGCTGTATGCCGCCCAACACCCTGGTCGCACTGTTCCTGCCCCATCCACCGTCTTCCAGGTTGCCAAGAAGTTTCTGTCCACTGGGTCTGTGCATCGTCAAAGAAGAAGGAAAGCAGCTGTCTTGGACGAAGATTTTGAAATCGCTGTGTTAGCCTACTTGCGAGCGTACCCCGAAATCAGCATCCGAAATGTCGTCGAAGATTCCGGAGGCAGCATCTTTTCGGTATGGAAAGTCCTGAGAATGCACAAGCTCCATCTGTATCACATATCTTTGCATCAGGACCTCAGCGAGTGTGACTTTGAGAAGCGCTTGGAGTTTAGCAATTGGGCCCTTATTAAAACGGATGAAGACCCCGATTTTCTCACTAATGTACTCTGGACTGACGAAGCACAGTTTTGCCGAAATGGCAACGTGAACGTTCACAACGCGCACTACTGGTCTGATTCCAACCCTCACTGGCTCCGCCAGCATAACCATCAGGTTCGGTGGTCAGTGAATGTGTGGTGCGGCATGTTTCGTGACAGAATAGTGGGACCATTTTTTTTTTTCGAAGGCACACTGACAGCTCAGTCCTACACAGCCAACATACTTGCCAACACGGCAAGTGTGTTGTCATACACCCGTGTTGGCCAACACGGGTGTATGACCCGTGTTGGCCAACACGGCAAGCGTGGTTCCAGCATGACGGAGCGCCAGCTCACTTCTCGTCGCGTGCGCGGAGCTACCTCAACGCCTGTTTTTCCCAGCAGTGGATTGGGCGCGGTGGACCTATGTTCTGACCGCCAAGATCGCCTGACCTGACCCCGCTAGACATTTTCCTTTGGGGTCACATCAAAAACGAAGTCTATTCAACTGAGCCCCAAGATGTCAACGACCTGAAGAACCGAATTGTCTCAGCATGCGCCAACATTGAACCACACGTCCTGAAGTGGGTGGTTCAATCTATGAAGAAACGATTCATGGCATGCGTAGCACTGGAGAATCGCCATTTCTAGCATTACTTGTAGTGAGACATTACCTTAGCGTCTAAGCACACCAGAAACTTAAGTTTTCAGCAATTCTGATCTCTGAAGTTATTTCGCTGAAGATAATAAATAGCAAAGACTTCTTTCTTGTAGCGTTTCATTTTCTTTCGTTAAGTCGACTGGCAGAGTCAGCGTTCGTGCGCCTACGCTATTTGGCGAAGCCCTTCCCCGCCGACAAACAATCGCGAGTGAAGCTCCGGGGGCAATGACGCATTAAAAGCGAGAGCGCTAAAGACCGCCCCCGCGAGTTTGCATGCCTCGAGCCGCACCGTGACAGCCGCAGTGCAGATATGAGATCATGACGATTTGTACGTCACGAAACCGTCACTTCTACAAGCGTCACGTGATCAGCGCTTCCGGCGCACTTGGAACTTTCAGTTTCGGAATCGGATGATCGAAAGGGGAGAAATTGTCGACGGATATCTCTGAACCAGTTGCATTTCTTTTTTTTTTATGTGTAAGTTGGTATAGCCTTCCAGGACGGCTGGCTTCAAAATTACAATTGCAACATGGTCCATTAAACCAATGATTCGAAAGTTAATTAACAGATTTTAGTTAATGACTCACCAGACTGTGACGGTTGTTCGCCTCTCGAATGTCCGCCGAGCTCAAGAAACACATAGTGAAGACGGCATTCACGTAGCAGTAAAGACGCCTTTTTTAAAAATCTGTTTCGAATAAAAAATAACACCCTGTATATATATAAAAATAAAGTCCAAGATGCAAAACATATAGTAAAAAAAAAAAAAACGCGTCTGCATAACGACTGCGCTTTTGCTGCCAACAGATTTTGTCTGCCTGTCGTCTGCTTTCTTTCGCTGGTCGGCTACACCTTCGGACGCTGCTCCCGACGCCATCTATCAATACGAACGCGAACCACACCCCGCAATTCTACTTGGTTGTCTGCGGCGCCACCCGCCGTTGACCCTTTCGAAGTTTCTTGGCCCTATCTTTTAGAGAAAGGGAGCTACGCTTTATAATTTTAAAATGAAGAAATTGACCTGTGAAATACAACATCGACGAAAAGTTTAGATTGCTACGTGCAGCCGTCGATTTTTACAGTCAATTTTAGATCAAGACTGGTGACTTGGGTCACCCTACATATAAGCTTTAACATCTCTCACGGACATTGGTTTTATATTCTTGCAGTACTTACAACAATGTATTTATGGTTTGAAGATATCATTTATATAATAAATTACGCGGTCTGGTCCCGCAGAAACCTAATTAAACCGTAGTTAAAACGTAACCGAAAACAGAAGCGACAGACACTCACAGTATTTATTAATCCATTTACGCCTCTCTTTAAACTTCGTAAACCAGTTGCTTTCATTCATTTGGATTAAACGTACTTCAGCCCTTCTTAAGTCATACCGAATAGCGTCAAGTCGTGGTAAAAGGCGACTTCGGAATCAACATGAACTCAGAGCTCCGTTCAGGTGTCAGCTGACAATTCAGTTAGTTGATACTTGAACCACTTGACGCAAAAGCTCATGTTCAGCCTGATTATGTTAAGCCACTTGGCATAGCAGCCGTGGGATGATGAAGAACAATCTTATTTAAAGGCGAATTAAGAAAAAGGCATGCAGCAAAAATTGCACATTAAATTAGAATGTGTTTTGTTTTTGTCATCTAGGACTGCTATCTCTGCACACACCTTATTTTTGCCGATATAGATATAGGCAAATATAATTATAATTACAAATATAATCGATTAATTAGTTGATTTAAGGGGTGACGGTTAATCGAGTTAAAAGTTTTTATCGACCCCCAGCCATAGTACTGACATTATTTGCGCAGTGTAGTTCTTTTGTGTTGAAGCAGCTCAACGATGACCAACTGGACTATTACCAGTCTGTCATAACATCGTGACTTTGTATGCTTGAGTTTGTGGTTGATAATTACTGCCAGCGCATTTCTTAGTCATTTGCTTATAGTCCACGGGTAGAGACATAATTACACACGATTATTTCGGTATTTTAATATTTACCTGAACGGAGTTCCCACATACAAGTCACGAATGAAAGCTACAATATTGTGTAGATAGTTTCAAGACTGTAGGTCTAACAGAGATCACCTCTTTATATTTAGCACACAAATCGAAGAATGCATTGTTTTACAATCTGCATGTGAAAGATTATGTTATAGAGACCGCCTGCACTATTCCTGAATGACAAGCCGTGATTCAAGGTAGTGAGATGCATGAACCTTGTTTGTAAAATTATCGACCAGAAATGCGTGTCGTCGGTGGCACATATTTTGCATTATACTGCATATGTCATGATTAAAAAAAGAAAAAAATCATTATAGTTTTGCTGCTTCAATTATCCACATTGCAAGCTAATGAATGCGTGTGTATTTTACTTACAGGACAGCCCGTGCTGGAATCGTGATGTTGACCGGTTACTATATCATACACATACTTATGTCATTATTACTCATATACTGGTTTCGTGATTGTGACCCTCAGCTTACAGGAGCCATCAAGCGGATAGATCAGGTGAATAATATATATTCCATTTGTATAGTTACAAAATATTAAACCTAGTATTACCCCAACCAAATGCCCGAGAAATGTCGAGATCGCACCCGAAGCGCATTGGCATTACCAAATATTTGAAATTCGTGGCAATTTAAAAATCTATTGTTGGAAACCAAAGCTTACGAAGATAGTTTCAATAGCTACTGCTGAAAGTTGTGGTAGCGGGAGGTGTCGTACATTATATTGAACGTCCTGACATCCCGCTTTCAGGAATTTACATTATCTAAAGAACGTTTGTCTGAGGAAGTTTATGAATGATACTTAACAATGTGAGTTACGCTTTTTTACAGCTCCTTCCTTACTACATCAAGAGGCACTTGTCAGAATTTACAGGATTTTCAGGCCTTTTCCTGGCCGGAGCAGTCAGCGCGAGTACAAGGCACGTATATTAAGTTCAATTCTTGTAAATCTATTGGCGTTTTGAGTCACCAAGCAAGTTAAAATATGAGACGAGAAAAAGATTTTTTAACGAGAGACAACGAAAATTCCAAGTGACTTATCTTGTGTCAACTTCGGTCCCAGTAGAGACGCTTGGCCGGAGTGTTAGTTGAGCCAATAAATCTGTTCTATAGGGTGGTTCAAGTCACCAGGCTCGATCTAAAATGGACCGAAAAAATCGACGCCTGCAAGTAGCAATCTAAACTTTTCGTCAAAGGTGTATTTCACAGGTCGGTTTTTTATTCTAAAATTACAAAGCGTAGTTCTCTTTTAGTAAAAAAATAGGGCCAAGAAACTTACCAGGGCCTACGACGGGCGTCGACCCAGACGACCAAGTCCAGTAGCGGGTTGTGTTTGGCATTCGTATTGATAGATGGCGTCGGGAGCAGCGTCTGAAGATGCAGCCGACCAGCGAAAGAAAGCAGACGACACGCAGACGAAATCCGTTGGCAGCAAAAGCGCCGCCGCTATGCAGACGAGTTTGTTTACTTTAAGTTTTGCTTTTATTGTTGCATTTATTTTTTAACCCAAGGTACATTTCAAAAAAGATTATATTCATTTTAAAAAACCACGGTGGTCGCGAGCCGTCGCGATAAGGAGGTAGCGCCATCTATCAATACGAACGCCAAACACACTCCGCTACTGGACCCCTGTCGTCTGCGTTGCTGCCCGTGGTTGACCCTGGCAAGTTTCTTGGCCTTATTTTTTTACAGAAAGAGAGCTACGCTTTGTAATTTTACAAGAAAAAACCGACCTGTGAATTACACCTTTGACGAAAAGTTTAGATGGCTAAGTGCAGGCGTCGATTTTTACGGTCCATTTTAGATCGATCCTGGTGATTTGAACCACCCTATATATGAGTCACACGCACAGTCGCTTAGGCTAAACAGCTGAAAATTTTGTTTCTGTCAAAAATTAAACTTCCCTAAAATTGTTCCTTCGGTGTTTAACAAACGGCACGTAGAAACTAGACTGCCTGACATTTATTCAAACAACTTTTATTATGTACTACCAGCAACTATTAATAACGACCCATCATGATAACTCTTTTCTTAAGTCTTGCCTTACCCCATCTAGATATAAGAATCACATATTTAAAGGTTGTGAAATACATCGGGAGGCAAAATAATCGCAGAAGACACAATAGAGAGCATATTCCTTAACAAAAAGCTATCACCTGACGCTCTTTATTTATTATATTGGGGTACCAAAGGGACACAAAAAGGCTAAGGAACGATTAAAGGCTTACATGCATTCCTTTAAGGGACTCACGAATAAACATTCGAGTGCTAGGCTTACGTTATCGATGAATCATCTAAGTTTAAGCGTGCGAAAGTATATGACACATGACACTGAAGTGTAATTTTCTCATACTGTAAACGACTTATTTTTCGCGGGCTCAGTATTTCGCGATTTAGGTCAAAGCTGAAGTTTTGGAATTATTCGCGGGTTATAATTTTCGCAATTTGGTGGGATCTCAATATAGATTCCAATCTGTTTATATTTTCCCGGAATTGTTCGCGAAACCTATTTTTCGCGAATTGTAGGCGATTCGCGTACCCGCGAAAATTAAGTCTTTTACAGTATTTTGATTTTGATTTTGAATAAATCCTACCAATCATATTTTATGTACCTTGATGTGTTGATTCGAGACCATCAGTTGACATTCGCGTACTGATAATACTCTCCCTTTCAGTGCCTCAAACATCTTCATACGCTTTATTGTTGAGAGCCCTTACACAAATTGTATCTCAGTTCCTGACTGGTATTCGTCTTTACAGCACCATATCATCAATCATAAACTCCCAAGCTGTCGTTCTCTATATTGACGTGGTGTCGCAGTATTTCGTTCTGGCGGATGTTCAGGCTACACGAATCACAAAAGTATTAGGTATGAAACTTTTTCTTAAATTCAATGTACATATTCTATTCTGAAGCACGTGCTTAATGTCAATGTATCATAAATAAAAAAAAAATTTCTTGTAAGTTTAGTTTGTCGCACTTTCTGCAAATACTTTGTAATCGATGTATGGCCTGAGAGCATAAAATCCTATGGAGGAGAATATCAAACTGCCGTCCTTCTTACGTACGTGCGATCTGGTGTTCTTGTCAATTAACCTTTTTATGATATAATTAAAGTTTAACTCAACACCACAGCACACTATTACACAGATGTGAAAGCATTTATTTGTTCCTTTATATCCACGTGCGTTCATTGAAAGGGTTCACAAATAGGCGTGAATTATTCTTTATGGGATCACTGGAGCTCGTAGCATTAAAGTGGTAAGGGATTTCACTATTTTACTTCACCTGCCCGCCGACAAAGTGAACTTGACTTTTGATGGGCCACAAAATGAAAAAAAAATATTTGGCTTACGGGTGGCGCCATGTAAGACATGAATACATGGCTATAGCTGCTCGCGCTAGAAAATGCAGCGTCAACGCAGAGCGCTGCGTCGGCTTCTAGCGTTGGCTAAGCTCGAACGGAGTGTAAAATTTGACTAAAAGTGTACGAGGTGCAGTTTTGTGTATGAAATTTTTCTCGCACAAATGACTACGTTCGTGGCTATGATGACTTATTTAGGTGTAAAATATCCATGTTCTAACACGTCACGCGGATATGACTTTTTATTGCTCTAGGAATCGTCAGTATGTAGCATACTGATTATTTCTGGAGCAAAAAAAAAAGTCATAAGGTAGCAACAATGGAAAAAAGGACTCGCAAAATCTAAAAGCAAAACAAAAAAAGAAAAAACGAAGGGATCACTGCGTGTTGTAGTACGCTTTTTCAAACATGTTTCACGTGCGTGTTTCTAAAAAAAATTACGAATACACCTGAGCACTTCTGAGGAGTTGTGAATGCGATAGCGTTCTTGGCGCCGAGAGGGGCAGAAGCTGCCGCACCGCCTGCAGGAGGAGCGGCGTTGCGCCTAGCAGACGGAGTGGGAATTTCCCACTCCCTCTTCCCCCCTTCCCTTCATTCGGCCACGCCTCACGAGGCTGCCGCGCGGGCGCCACCCTCTCCTTTTTTACCGACGCACGGGCAGCAGCCCCAGAGGAGACGGCTTCTCTTTGGGGTGGGGTTCCTTGGAACTGTGCAAAGTGAGGGACGGAAATTCCCTGCCCCCCCCCCCCCCCCCCCCCTCTGAGCTTCTGGTCACGCTTGACACGTGACCCAAGAGGGGGGAAGGAGGGGTTGCCGAGCGCGCGCCGCCCTCTCTTTAGGTGCCTGTTTTTCGTGGTCACACACAACGCCAGGTACGCTCCATGGGCGTCGCATTAGTTTCCCGTTTTTTTGCGGTCACTGACAACAACGACTGCGCTCCAAGAAACAATTACTGCTTTCGCGTAATTAAAAAAATTGATAAGTCGTAATGCATGTCATAAATAACTGGGTCATTTAACGTAATTAAAGACTCCTTTAGACCACAGCGTGCAAATAGCATCAGAGGACTCGAGGGTGAGGAATAAAATTATAGGCATATTTCATGTTGGACTAAGTTACGCCGCACTAATTTTTAGAAAAATAAAGATCATCGCTACTGTGACGACTACTTAATAACGGAGGGTAGACTCCTCCGCCAACGTAAAGGCCTGGACTAGGTTCATTGTATACCCTCTAGTTGGTTCCTTAGACTGCATTTCAGAGGATATCTAAATATTTGCATATTTCAACTTTATCGTGTGGATTAAAAAAAAGGCTTGCACTGCAGATCCGCAATGCAGGTAAATTTACTGGTATGACATTAGTTTCCATTAATTAGGATCTGTAATCTACATTAAAGAAAATATATGTGGCGTTTGCACAAAATATAACGCATCGTTCTATTGTATATACATTTTTTAATTAAAAAAAAAAATAGAACAAAAATATTTACAGAATTTTAGGCATTCCATTCTCGCGGATTATTTTAATCACAGCACAACGGTTTGATCCATGTGCTGTGTAGTTTTACGCTACTCTAGGTGAATGTATTGTATTCATTTCCGCACATTTCCATAGCGGTTTTGTATTTCTAATAAAAGCAAATAAAACTAAACATACTTTTGCCATAATTATTCGGTATATTAGTATAAAATATGTAGTAGAATTCTTAGAATGTCTAGCGTAATACCAGATTAATCAGTGCGTGCGTGTTTTCATTTCGATTTATGCATTCCCTTGCTTTTTGCCCCTCGCGCATACTTAAAAAAATATTTCTAACTTATTTTGCTTATTAAAAGGCTAATTCAACTCTATGATCGCTTCCAAATCACAATAAAAGTTCCAAAATAAAGCCTGTTTCACGTTACGTCGACTCAATCGTTCCTTCAAAAAGTACTCAGCACAGTAAAAAATTATCAACGTTTGCAGTGATGAGGTCCTTAATTATTTTGGCACTTCTTTTGGTGTCACCATTTTTATACCTTCGTCTCGATTTACTTCAAAATGTTTAGTATGAACCAGCTCACTTGCACCCTGACTTTCTGTTCGTTAAAAGTTTGGTTTTACTTAAACTCGACTGCTCCGCATTGTCGGAAATTACGAGGCAGCCCCACTTCTTTTTTTAAAAGATGCAGCCACGTACATCCTTCTACCTGGTTCATAAAAACGCTGAATTAAGACGCGTTTGAAGGTTTTGGTTTTCCATCGGTGTGCATCTCAGCGCTACAAGCCTTACTCCCTTTGATAAAAGCGCAAAATTAAAGTGCGCCGGCTCCTCGCATGACGGTGGTGAACCGAATAATTAAATATTATTATTTAAAAGCCCGTCACTGTACCGTAACAGTTGTTTTTATCTGCGAGTGCCACACTTCCCTTGCTACGAGGGAGGCGACGCAGTAGTTGCACTTTTTGACCACGTAGAGCAAGACCAGTGGCGCAGATTGGGATGAAACCGAACCTTTGAACCACTCAAAAGATAACCTTTTTTTTTTTTCGTTTTTATTTTTTTTACAAACGTTATCAAATGGTTTCAACGCCGTAATTTAGATAAATCGGGCGGATTTAGTTGTTTTATACAATTCCCACAAAATGTCTGTTAAAGGCTATACCACTAAATTTACCACGTAACTGTTTATAATTCAGAAGTCGTTCTTAGTTTAAGTCTACTCAACAGTGCTTCAGCCCTTCTGTTCCGTGCGATGCGCACTTTTTTTTAACCATTTGGCCGGCGTTCAGAGAAATACCGTGTAATACGCGCGTAAGAAATTAAAAAAATCTGAAATATAGAGTCTGATTTTCGAACATTTAGGAATTCAGCATTTTGTTGATATATGATCTGCGGCCAATCTTCTCGGTCGTGTAACATGGACAAGTGCAAAAGCTCTCAGGGCCTCAAAAACAGTGTCCAAATGTTAAAAATATTCTTTTATTATAAGATTAATATGTCGGAGTTATAGAGTGTACAGCTGAAGGACGCGTAAATTTTTCATTTTATGAATATTGCTGTGTGCAATTATACATTAAGAAAACCGTGCTTCATAAACGTGGTTATTTTTTTTACTAAAACATAAATTGCCTAACTTCAGCGCGAATATCGTAATTTTTGTGGTTATCTTTTCTAACATCACGTTCTTCTCGTAGACGCCGGCCCTAAAATACTTTGTGATAAAACACACTTCTGATTTGCTAAACGATAATCTATATTTACTGTGCTTTTTATACTAACCCATGTTCAATTTCTCTCCCCCCGGATTTTCAAATAGCCTTTGTCATAGGCATCATAATGACCCTCTTCAGTATCGTCATACCTTACCTTGGCTCTGCGACCAGGGTGAGCACAAATGAAACCTTCCGTCTCATAAAAAACTGGAGTAACTCAAAAATATAATTTTCTTAACGTTCGGTCAGCCAGACAATTCTCTGCCTTGAAATTGCGTCGGCTGTGTCTAACTTATATAAAAAATTCTGCAGTGTGGTAGGAACTCTAACCCGAGCTTTCTAACGCCCACCGCGCAGTGACTGGATATCATTTGAAGTGATATGTAAAGTGCTGTACTCACATAACTGTTTCAAGTGGTCGGTGCACCGATTTTTTTATTTGGCCAAACAACTGCCGCAATGGTTTGATGTCAACCTATAAAATAAAGAAAAGCAGACAATTTGTTTTTGCGAGCCCTATTTTCTGTTAGAAATCATGAAACAAATCGAAGGTCAGTGCACCCCTCAAACCCCACCTTCATTCGATCAAGGGGCGCAATGGCGTCAACTGAGAGTGGCACGTTCGGTTCAATTCTCAGGGCCCCGAGTCCTCCCTAAGCGATAATCGACTTGTCAAAGTTCGATTTGGGTACGATAGAAAACCGTACACGCTTAGTAGCGAGATTTAGTAGGTCGTGCTGATACCTACGATATCCCCGATGACGATACCATGCAGGAGCAAAGGAGGCGGCGCAGCAAAGGGTATCGTTATCGGAGTCACGGGAGCGATCTACTAAAACTCTCTCATATCGATGAAGGTCGCGCCGAGTGATCGAGAAAACAAAAAAGGCTTCGTTACAGGACAGATGGGATGGTGAGGATAGCGACGGAGGGGAAGTGGTTATGTTGCCGTCCGATAGATGACACACCAAAAAGCCTGTGTACTCCTAATGACGCCATAGCCTAGTTTCGGTGAGCGCTAGAAGCGGGTGCAGATCGGGGGTAAATCATTCCTTTCTTTGCAATTATGCAATCACGTCGCCGTATTTCGGGGGAAGGTAGGGCTTTTCTTGTCTCGCTTGGGCGGATATATACATTATGAAAAAGGCAAGGAGCAAACACTTTCAATTTTAAAATCGTTTCACTACCTCTTTGAGAGAAAATGGGCTAATGGGGGGGTGTCAGCTGCCGAGGCCTGTTTTCCTGTACTATACAGCAGCGGAAGAAAACAATATGAAAAATTTTCTTTTTCAATAGAAATACACCCACTAACCAAAGAGTCACTGGCTACTACAAGGAACTAAGGAAATAAAAAAAAAAGACAATCATGGCACACAACAATTTGTGGGCACCTTATTCTACATATATATATATATATGTGTGTTAAAACAAATTATGCGATAATAAATGCATGTACGTTGTTGAATTGGAAGATCTATATTCGTTAATCAACTGAAATTTGGGCATCTCGATTAAGGTGAAATATAGTAAAGTGTCCTTTAAAGACAATAGTTCTTACGGGCTCTTGAGTAGGTTTAGTCAGGGAGAAAACCTTTATCTATATTATAATCTTAAAATGTTTATGGAACATGGAGGACATCATCTTATTTATCAGGGCAAGTAAGCTGCCAATTTTTTTTGTAAGACGTTGTTCTACCGCAAGAAACAAGTTAATAAAGCATGGTTCATAATAATATATATATATGAAATGTCAGTGGTTTATTGCGCAGCTCTCTTTGTTTAAAACAAACAACTGGTCGGATAGTTTGGTTCTGAATTTTCGCTTTTGTCAGTGCTAAACAACTGCATCGTGTAAGATCGTTTACGCGGTAAATCGAATGTATGAGGCTCATCAACATGGCAACGGGGAGGGTGGGTAACGAACACGGGAATCAATCCAGTTCTGCGAAGTGAACCAGTTTTGTTTTTGTTTTTTTAGAATGCCAACAGGCATTGCATGTGCATGTGTGTGGTCTCCATTATAAATGATGCGACCTGCATCTCGTTGTGTAGAGAACTCACACACCGTAAGCTACTGACTTGGGAGCCGCCAACTCGGCAACGCCCTCGTCGCTTGCATTTTTATTTTTGATCTCGCATACCAGTACATTTAATTCCTTCCAAAAGTGTACGTTTTTCTCGAATCTCCAAAGGGTATTTACAGCCTGGTTTAACTTACGATAGACCAAAAACTACGCTTGTGTGCCATCTTAGCCAATTCGATATTAACTTAATGTCACGTGGCATTCAAAATGTGCCCACCACGGCAACATGCAAGATAAACACCTAACTTGACCCATGTTTGGCGATTATAGGAGACTAACTTGGGCATAATAACGTTTTCCTCCGAAATATTAGTTTGTGCCAAAACAAGAAAGCGTTCCGTAAAAAAAAAAAAAAGAAGAAGAACTTATGTTTCAGTCGGTTCGACGCTCGCGCTCACAGAACACATTCACAAGCATTCGTGAGAAAATATTTTGTGTTCGTTTCTACATCCTTAAGTTTGCTTCTGCTTATTAGCGTTGTACATAAAAGCTTCCCGGCTCGCTGATTTCCTATTTTCGCCAAACCATCCCGTAGTTACTCACCTCACACATCAATCTATCTGCGAAATACACACCGATAGAGTGAATTTGTTCAGGATTCTGAAGAGCCAACATTGAAAACATATTTCTAAATGCTTTAAATGAAGGTGTACGCAGCTTAATTCGTAACAGTGCCTAATATACAGTTAAATTATTGAAGGCGATCCGTAAAACCCTCTTTTATTTAATGGTATTAACTAAAAGTAAAACATGAATAGACTATTGACATGTTGAAGTAAGATGTAAAGAATAAAAAAATGCAGTATCTCGAATAATGCGGCTATTATCTCTTTCAACTGCTCACCACCCCCGAAACTGTTATTAAACATAATTTTCCTAAAAAAACAATCCTAACAAACTTATGGGCAATAACATACCAACAACCTTTTATTGTTTCTAAAACAAAATTATTATCGCTTCTAGATTCTTCTCATGGTTAGCAGCGCCGTCTCTGGACCATTTGTTGGACTGTTTCTGTCGGCCTTGATGTTTCCCTGCGTCAACAGCAAGGTATTCATTTCACAGCATACTTGCATACGTGAGAATAAATCTCTGAAACAAACACACGAAAAAAAGTTAAGAGATGATAGTTACAGCAACGTGTAGTATATTACATATTGTCACGAATGGCAAATGATGTGGCTGCGAATAACTGAAGAAACTAAACGTTTGGTGGGGCGAACTTGTGCACAAAACAAAAATAAAGAAAGGCTGGCGTCGCAGGCGTCGATGTCGGAGATACAGCGGGATCGAATGCTTGGGAGAGACTGACTCCGCGGCTTGCCCGTTTTGTACACGCGTGGCCTTCTGGAACATTCGGCGTAGAAGGTTCGGTGCGCAGAACATTCTAACCTCGTATCAGCCCAAGACGGTTCTCGAATTTACCAGAACATTCTCATTATAGAGTACAAAAATGTGTAGCCACGGACAGGAATCGAACTCTGGCCTTCTGCGTGGAAGGCAAGCGCGTTAACCGTTAGGCCACGGCCGCGCTGCCTGCTTAGTAAGCTATGCGCGCGGCAATATTTCGATTAATCTAAGGTGGTTAAATGACGCTGAATGCACTCCCAGCGTGTTTGCGTACCAGAAGCCGCATCCTGACAGCCGCAGTGATTATATGAGATAGCGGAAATTTGTACGTCTCGAAACCGTCACTTCTACAAGCGTCCATGATCAGCTCTTCCAACGCAGTCGGAACTTTCAGTTCAGGAATCGGAGGATAGAAAGAAGAGGGATTGTCAATAACTATCTCCGGACCAGTGGCTTTTCTTTTCTTTTTTTTTAGTTGCTTAATTTAGTCTAGCTTTTGATTGCCGTTGTCTTCAAAATTGCAATCGTCGCATGGTCGATAAACCAATAATTAAAAAGTTAATTAACGAGATTGTTATAATTACTCACCAGACAATGACTGTTGTTCGCCCCTTGAATGCCCACCGAGCTCAAGGAAGATATAGTGAAAACGGCGTTGACGTAGCAGTATAGACGCCCTTTTTCTTATCTTTTTGTAGAGAAATATATTTTCTCATATTTTATTTTATTTTATTTTTATGCGCCGTCGCTTTGCCGATTTCAGCTTTCGCAGTTCGAAGGAACGCGCAGACGCTTGCTCGTCTGCTCACTGCAGCACGTTTTGTTGGCGTTGGAAGACTGATAAAACAGTAGTACAGTTTAGTAATACGTATACGGAGAGGGGGGGGGGGGGGGGGGAGGGCGAACGAAAGCAATATGTGTTTGCGTTAACGTTGCGTGTTCCACACTGTGCGTGCTCGTAACCTGAAATTAGCGGTCTTGTATTGTTTGATGGTGAACGCGCGCATGCACAACGTGGAGCACGAAACTCTAACGCAAACGCGCTGCGCTTGCGTCAGCTTCTATATATATAGCAAAACTCACTAGTAAGGTACAATCCCATAGCGGTCGCAGTACTCCCTACATTGGGACAGTGAAGAGTGTTGTTTGCATTCGGAAATGACATTTCGTGAGCAGTTCCGCCGTGCCCGCTGAGTGGGAGAACCGGAGGAGCGTCACAAGAGCGCTTCCCCTTTCCGCCGCGAGAGGGCGAGCAACGAGCTACAGACGCGTATATTTCAGGTTCATGGTAAACTGGAAGATTGGTCTCCTCTTATTACCAGGTGCTTCAAGGTACAGGTGATATTGATGCTGGCTCCAGCTAGCTTTCCAAGAGGCTCTCACAATATCTTGCATTAAATATCAACGCCGTTGTATTGGTAGAGAAACAGTGTAAAAAAGCTGAATATCTGTTAGCGGTAGTTTGTGTGCTGCTCTTCATTGCAGTCCCGGCTAGAATTAGGTCTTCTCAGTTGCATGTGTACTCACTGTTCGTCTAGACAGACGTTATTTGCAACAACCGGATATTAAAAGACAGATCAGTTATTAAAGTGATCTTATAAATTTAATTTAGACATTATTTGTGCAACATGACTCAACATTAGTCTGAGCAAACTATTGCTCCACGCTATACTACCTTCTAACACACTGAACTTTCAAAAACTTGGAGGATGCTCCCGTTCACGTCGCCTTCTCATTCGCTTCTCGTGGTCGGAGGCGCGCGTGCTCTCCGAGATCAGAAGACGCTATCGAAACTCCGAATCGTCCTGTCGCTGCTGTCGCCTCACTTCGGCTTCGCGAGAACGCATATCAACGTATAAATTGCCGGTTGTTCCCAAGCTGTGCAAGCGTGCCATGCGTGGCCTAGTGACTAGCGTGTCTGGTTGGCAACTTGAGGGTGAATCCTGCCTAAAATTCTTCTTTTTATTTCTTTAAAAAAAAATTCATTACATTATAAAGTGAAATCATCTGAGACATGGAGCCGCCGTTAATTTGCAATACAAGTCATGTTTTTAATCACTTTCATTCCACGCGCGACTAACGTTCCGTTGTGGGTTGTCAGAAATTCCCACGCGAGGTCATGCAGCTGTGGCGTCATGAACCTATGACCAATCAGGATTTTCCCATCACGCCACTGACGCTGGGTTTTCTGTGACACCAGCTCCTTAGCGCTATAAAGTTAAAACTCATCTAATTGTTGTTGTTGCTGCTTTTGAAAAATGTGATACATCCTTCACGTTTTACAGAAAGGCACATTTTTTTGCTTTCATAATGAGTTTGTAAAGGTTTAACGGCTCTCAAATTACAGGGAGCCGGTGTAGCCACACTCCTGACGACTACCTTCCAATTGTGGCATATGAGTGAAAAATTACGCCTTGGAGTTCGTCCACCTCGAATGCCGGTAACCATGGATTACTGTCCCGGAAATATTACAAGAGCAATGAATATTAGTAGCAATGCTTTCTTCCAGACACCAAGGACGTGAGTATTATGCTCTAAATTTTGCCTCAATCATTAAATGTTAGCATTATCGAATGATCTAACAGGGTGTTTCCGGGAACGCGGGCAAAATCTCACCTGCGAACACTACACATCACACACAAACACACACACACACAAAAGTTTATTCCGGAGTAATCTTTTGCAAAAGGCACATTAAAGAAAATTATTATCGTTCATTATAATTCGGTAATTAATTAATTTTGAGTAATTCATTTGTTAATTATTGATTTTAAAGACATGGCTTCAATTAGAATCCTGCTGGGCATCATCGGAAGCTCTCAAATTCACCAACATTAAAAGGGTATTAGGCGCGCGCAGTGATTTACGGCATTCGGAAGAAATTCTAAATTTGGACGCGTTTCTGGCTTTCGGCTTTTTATCGGAGTGCACCTCCGCGAGGGCAATCACGCCCCGTGTCTAAAATGCGCAACATGCGTGCGCCGCCATTCATTGCACGTAAAGGTGCCTGTTCACACTGCCATCGCATTCAATAAGGCAAACCTCATGTGGCGGTCCAGATGTTTCCTTATCTAGGCTCTTCTATTTGCGATGCGTGGCGGTTTACGTACAGTACATACGTTTCTCGTTTGGGCCACGGGGAACGGGGTTGCTCACGCGGAGATGTGCTACGACAAGACACCGAAACTCAGAAACGCGTCCAAATTTAGTATTTTCTTGAGATGCCATAAAAGGCTGCGCGTGCCTTATAGCATTGTAATGTTAATGTATTTAGTAGTTTCCCGTGACCCCCAGCAAGGTTTCAATTAAGGCCATACCTTTGAATTCAGTATATAGCAATTTAATTACTTAAAGGCATTTACCGAACTATTCTAAAAGCTAATCGTTCTCCTTCATGGGCCCTTTGACACGGACCACTATGACATCACCATTTTTTCTCTTCAATGCGTACTTTTCGCAGGAGCGATTTTGCCCGCGTTTCGAAACACCCTGTATGCAGGGTGTCCCTCGGAGTGCAGACCGAATTCTTTCTCCAATATGTACGTATCGTGCAGAAAAAAGGCTATTGTGTTGTTGGTCTCGGCTAAAGGACCTATTTGGGAAAAAAATGTTGCTTGGTATAATTACTTTCTTAGTTAATTTTATTTTCACTGCACTGTCACAAGGCTTCGCCAAAACTTAACGTTAAGATCAGCATCCGCTGATCTTAACGTTATTATCGTTATTAACCATGAAGGTTAATTCATGAAAAACACTTGATAAAATAGTTTTACATACTTACTCAAGGGTTTATGTAGAAATAGTAGTCTCGTGCCCTGTCATTAAAAAAGGGACCTTTTTCACATTTTCTAAATATTCAATGCAGTTCCAGTCATTATGAAACAAGTTTGGTTTCACTCGATCCGAGTGCCAAGCCCCTTGCCAAACGATCACTTTGTGTCTCACCTGAAATTATGCCTATATGTTATCGCACTAGCGAAAGGAACCATTGCAGGCTGGGGGCCAAGGCGACAAGTCAAATAGTTAGCGCCTCGTCATGCCCCTTTTCGTTCTTGGGTCTCACGTTTAAAATACTGTGCTCTCGACGCCCTTCCTGAACAATGTAGCTTAAAAGACGAGGACTTTAACACCTGATTTTTTTAATGAAAGCATTGTGTGGAGCTTACTAAGAAAACTCAGTGTTCAGGAAAGAATCCAGAACTTTTAATAATTATAACAATAATCCTTATTTTTCGGGTGCCCTAAAAACGGCCAAGCGGCCTTCTCTTAGGTACACCAAACGTACAATAGGAACCCTTAAGCAATAATCCTACTAATTAATATATATACAGGGTGTTTTTCCTTAAGGTTAACATAACTTTTTTTCAAAAACCATGAAAGCTAGATTAATGCGGTCTGCGGAGGTGAGTTATACGGCCAGGGGGACATAATATAGGACGCCAGTCGTAACGATCTGTCGTCTAATTAGTTAAAATTCGTTAATGAACTTTTTAATTAATGCAAATAGACATATAGTTTCAATTAGAAACTTGCTGGGCGTCATCGAAAACCCCTAAATCAGTCATTTTCAGAAAGACTTTCAGAGCGTGAGAAGCGTAGTAGTGCACTAAAGTTAGCACTCATGAAGCACGTACAAAGCTAGCGGTTGCGATAAGGCGCCCGTGCAATGTTTCCGTCTCTTATCTAGCCCCAGCCTTGTACCTGCTCCACGAGCGGTAACTTTAGTGTACAACTACGCTTCTCACGCGTTCAAAGTCTTTCTGAAAATGACTGATTTAGGGGTTTTCGACGACGCTGAGCAAGTTTATAATTGGAACTATATCTCTATTTTCAATAATTAAAAAGTTAACGAATTTTCACTAATTAGCCGACTGATCGTTACGATTAGCCCCCTATACTATGTCCCTCTTGCCGTATAACTCACCTGTGCAGACCGCGTTAACCTAGCTTTCATGTTTTTTTTTTTTTAATTCTGTTAAGCTTAAAAAAACACGCTGTATATATTTAGAGAGAGAGAATAAAGAGCCACTTCAAAAACTTAACTCCTTTACTTAGACGTTTCGACCCTAGACGGGTAACGTCTAAGTAAGGGAGTTAAGGTTTAGAAGTGGCTCTTTATTCTATACAAACTCTCGGCAGCCAAGACCCGGACTTCGCAATATTATATATATATATATATATATATATATATATATATATATATATATATATATATATATATATATATATATATATGTATATATATATATATATGCATATACACTGCCGCAAAACGCCGTAGCGTTTCGATAAACTAAAATATATGTTTTGTATATGTAATTACTATCCTTATACTTGCAAGTAGAACTTGGGTATTGAAAGAAGTAAATAATGTCTTACATCCACTACGCAGGGTGCTTCACCAACGACTGATAATACCTCTAAAATATTCTCAATTCTAAAGTTGTTTTTATTTGTGAAGCATTTTCAAATCATTTTAACAGTCGTAAAAGAGATAACCGTCGCGCGGTATTCATTACCTTGCGGGCATACTGCTCCGAAAACGTGGATTTGATGTCCTGATGTCATAACTGATTATATAATACAATAAATATTTTTAGGTGTGACGTGACCAAATTTAGGGTTCAAAGTGCTCAGCTTGTCTAGCAAATAAACCTCTGCAAATTGACACTAGTATTTATTATTGTAGACAGTATACATACATGATAAAGCAGCTATTCACTTTCGCTTGCTTATTTGACAAATTCTCAGATTGTGCTCAATACCAGCCCCTTGTGTGTTAAGCTAGATGAATTATGAAACGAATTCATATAGTTTATTAAATAAGCTCAATGAATAATACAACGCATGACTCATGTTCGAACATAAACCATGAAGTCTTCAACTCTGCTTGAGCACGACTATTAAAATATATATCTTAAGTTACGGTCATTCGTAATTAAATTAGACGCATGTGCCTCCTAATTGTCATCTTGAAATATTTATCCAAGACAATATCATTCGCAGATTTATTCTTTTGTTAGTATAATTTAGCTGCTGGTCCATCAAAGGTATTAGCTTCCTTTTCTAGATAAAAAGAACTCATAGTTTTAGACATTGCATGCCAAAAATGTATATATATCACGCAGGCTTGATGGCGTTTTTATTCTCTCACGGCTGTCATCCTACTGGAGCAATTCCATAAGCGCTCTTCTCACCATCCTGCTCGCCCTCGTGATTAGCGCTCTGACAGGTAAGATATTTTTCCTTGTTTTACATTGCTGAAAGCTAAGATTTGCACTAGACACTCGCGCAGTCACAAGCGAAAAAAAAAACCAAAACAACAAACGCCAGTGCATTTAGAAGCAATCTGCAAATATAAGAATAAACTCAGTAATATAAATATGTGTATTTCATATTAAAAGTATTTTGCAGCAAAACGTGATATCGGAAACATTTCTTTAAGATTTTTTGTCTGTGTAGAATAACTTGCTCCGACAATGTATTCTGCATAGCCAAACCACGAACATTGTTTTCTCCGGAAATTCATCAAAGCAAAAAGCCCATATTTGCATGTTGAATATCTTTTCTAATACAAACCACGCGGAAACATTTAACTAACTCATGAAATTAGAGGTTCCAGGTCACAAACAAAATTTGTAGTCTCAGCTAATACAAAGTATCCAACAAACTACTTTAAAATCTATAATTGAAATTTGCAAAATAGTGAGAAACATGTTTCAATCATAGCAGCACATATTATCAGATATATCTAACAAACTTATCCCATCTTCAGAAGCATCTGAAACTCAAAATATGGTACTTTTTAGTTCTGAAATACGTGGTCTACAACGTGATGTTTTGCCCCCGAGTCATGTCTAAGCTGTGTATAACGAATTCAAACAGGAAGAATCAGCATGCAGTAACGTCACGTGGACGACTCTATCACGCGGCTATTTTACTCCCCGAATTAATGTTATAATTTGTTCTCTAAATTAACGTGTTGCTGTATATTATCGATGTTACGTTGAACTAATTTTATTATTTGTGATAATTGCGAATGGTTTAAGGAGCATAATATTACTATTAGAACATTCCAAGTGGGATTTCGCTCGAGCACATATTTGTGGAAGAAAAAGATTCCGCCTTGAGAAACTGGTTCTCGGCCAGTAGTTAGCGCTGGCCTAAAAGCTGTGAAAAGTTAAAAACAAATATTGATAGTCGCAGTGCTGTAGGCTATGTTCTTCCTTAAATATACGTATTCATAAACACGTTACCTAAGTCCTTTTAGCTGCTCATTTCCGGTTTGTCATAAAACATTTTATTAATTTTGGCCTAGGGAGACCATATATGAATTAGTCAATATTGCTGATTGTAATGGTGTCCGAAATTACTTTTATGAACTTACTTAAAAATTTATATAAATGTTTATATTATTAAGCATCTAATATATATACATATATATATATATATATATATATATATATATATATATCACTTTTTTATAAAATCAATAGCGTCTTCATACTCATTTATTTTAAATAT